CGGGTATAATTGCAGCCTAGTCCTTGCCTCTGAATGAGCGCCATTTTTTTCCTTTTAAGACGAGGCGAAAGGTTTTCACGAAGGAAAAGAATGAAGGAGGCTTTCTTTCATGTTTGCTGAAGAATTTTCGTCGAAGTTAGCGGAAAAATGGCGAACAACATCGTCGACAGCTCCCCTGAGTATAATATCTTTCCATTACTACCGTATTATCTATTCTATTTTTAACAAAGGTATGACAAATATACGGTATTGATGCTCTGAATGCCGATAAATTGATGATGTTAATAATAATACAAAAGTGAAAGGTGATTTATCTCAATAGCAATAGCAAATCGATATTGTTTACTATCGATAACAAGAAAATGATACATTACACGAAATTTAATATCATTTAATATTACCTTAATAATGATAATATTTACATTGATATTCATAGTTGCAATAACAATAATATTACCTATTAAGATAATTTAAATAATGATGATGACTGATCGCATAAGATTATGGTGATAAAGATAAAAATGATAATGGTGATGATATTAAAACTACTGCTATCATGCTTATGTGGTAATTACTTTTATAGTGACGATAACACCAATACTTATTATCATTACAGTGATGCAAGTAGTGATTATTATAAACAGGATGATATTTTAACAATAATTAGAAAACCGCACTGATACCACTGCAATAATGAAAGAAGCAAAAGGAAAATAAGAGAAATAAGAAAGGGAGAAGGAGAAAAAGAGGAAGAAAAAAAGAATAAGAATACTGAAGAAAAATAACGAAAAGGGAGGAAGAGTAAGGGATAAGAAGAAAAAAAACGAAGAAAGAAAAAATAAGAGCGCAACAGAAAAGAAGCAGAAAATAGAAAAAAAGAATATAACAATAATGATAATAATGGAAATAGTAATACTTTTGATGATGATTAATAGCAAAATTAATGTTTATATGATAATCTAAAATTAATTAATAATGATAATCAAAATACAATAGTAAGTTGATATGAGTGCAGAAGAGTAAATATACTGGATAATCAATCAATTAAAGACATAATAATGATCTATATCAAAAATATAATAATGTATAATCAAGAGTAAATAATAATGATAATCTCAAAATTGCTCTCATAATGATAATTCACAAATAATATTATAATAATAATATGAATAATAATGATATACAATAGAAGTACAATAGAAAGAAGATGGAACAAAAGGAGAAATACGCAAAACATAATTTTCTTCATCGTTCTCTTTCCTCCTTCGTCATCTTTCCCGTTCTGTCTATCGGCGACCCCTTGCCCCCCTCCCCATCCCAATCATTTCTCCTGCGCCTTCGTTCTCCTTCCTCCTATCTCCGCCCGTTTCTCTCACGCGGTATTCATTCATGCCAATTCTGCCGACCCCTTCACAGATTATTGAGCGCTCCGAATACGAATTCCGCTGACCTCGTTTGTGAGGGGACCTTGTCGTGAATTTGAATGCCTCTGATTACGGTGTGAGTGGTGCGTGTGATGTCTGTGGTGATCATTACTTTGTGGCTTCGCTTGTTCAAGGCTTGAATTGCATGTTATATTATCATGTATCATTATTCATATATATAGATCATTTATATTATATCACTCTCCTCCCCCTCCTCGCTGTTCTACTATTATCGCTGTTATTATCATCTGTTTGCATTATCATTGCATCTAATTTCATTATTATCATCTATGCTCCTCCAGTTTATGTACATTTGATTCGAGTTATTTATTTTTTATTACGACTGGTAGTAATTATCTTAGTTTTATTTGTACTTTATATTCATTTGGATTAATCGTCATCAATCAGCGTTATGGTGTGTTATTTATTTCTTCGTTCCCTTGTTATTCATTTATTCACTAGATAGTATTCCTTTTTACTGAAAGTTCGTCATGGGCCGAGGGTATGAGAATGCAAGTAATTATGAGGGTTAAGGGTCTAAGTCTCGTTTGTCTTTCCCAGTAGACTCCAAGGAAAAATACGCGTAGAATGAGTATTTGTTGTCGTTCTTACTTCTCTGTTTTAATGAAATTGCCTGTTTGTTTACATAAATAGTCAAAAAATGATCATTTAACATTTGTCCACAAACGACCAATAAAATAATTATCTGTTACCCAGGTTACACGTCTCGTCGGGTCTGTCACACCACTACACTACACATATTCACTATCCTCTCTCTGTTCTTCTCTCTACTCTCTCTGTCTTTCGATTTCTCTCTCTCTCTCTTCTCTCTCTCTCTCTCTCTCTCTCTCTCTTCGGTCTTCTCTCTCTCTCTCTCCTTCTCTCTTTCTCTCTTCCTCTCTGACTTTCCTACACACACACGCATTATATATAGTAATATAATATATATCTATATATAATATTATATATATAGTATATATACATATATGTATTATGTATGTTTATATATTATAATTATATGTATGTAGTTATCATAATATATAGGTATATCATTAATATAATATTATAATGGTGTGCTTTTCTGTGTGTGTTTGTGTGTGGTGTTGTTGTGTGTGTTGTGTGAAGTATGAATATATATATATATAATTGATATTAATTTAATATTATATATAGTATACATGTATATATACATATTAGAGATACGTATTATATATATTATATTATAGTATATAATATAAGTAATATTATATATATATTATACTATTATATATATGTGTGTGTTGTGTGTGTGTGTGTGTGCTTGGTGATTCTTGTGTGTGTGTATATTATTAATATATTATATATGTATCATGTATATATACATATATCTATATTATATAGTATATATATAGTATATATATTAATTATTTATAATTAATTACTATAAGTATATATAATATATATGTGTGTGATGTGTGTGTGTGTGTGTGTGTGTGTGTGTGTGTGTGATGTGTGTGTGTATGTATGTTTACATATCATATGTTTATATTATATTATTATTGTATAATATATTTATATTATATTATATATATATATTATATATATATTATATATTGTTACGCAACGGTTAAAATAAACAATGCTGTTGATTCCTATTTTACTGAAGATCTAAGATAACAAGGTTTTTAACTCCATGAATGACATCAAAGTAATAGAACAGAATCCAGGGCCTTGTAGTAAGAAACTAACGAACAGATAAATGCATAACCTAGGAAAGAAATATTTTACACATGCAATAGGATATTTCAAAAAATACACCACTAAACAGATTCAAACACTTATCCTAACCAGACCTATATATATCTGAGAACACATAAAACTTATACTTAAGTACTGGGATTCCTTGAATCTAGAAATAAGTGATGATAAACACAAAAAGGGGGAAAGAACAAAGAGACGCTGTCGCCTGAGAGAGAGCGCGTGGAAGAGTGAAGTGTCAACTCCTCTCATTGGCTGAGAGCCTACAGACATCCAGGTGGGCCTCCCTATTGGCTGTAAGGAAAATGCGCGCGAACTGTCAGAATCCCTAACATGGCACTGGCTTTAACACCTCCCTTTCTAAGAAGAAAAATTTACAATGAAATTTTTGTTTCAACAATATCTTAAAGTCGTGACAAGCAATCTGCAATCACATTATCCTTCCCTTTTTATGAATGATATTAAGATGAAACTCTTGCAAGTATAAACTCCATCTAGTTAATCGCTGGTTTTTATCTCTAAACTTGTTCAAATATTTGAGGGGATGATGGTCAGTAAACACCGTAATTTCATGGCCAGAAGGATTAAGGTAAACAGCAAAATGTTGAAGACCAAGTATAAGTGATAATAACTCTTTCTCAATGGTAGAATAATTTTTCTGGGCTGAATTAAATTTCTTACTAAAGTAACAAACTGGGTGATCAATGGCCTGGTCATCTTCCTGCAATAAGACGGCACCAGCACCAACATCACTTGCATCTACAGCCAATTTGAAGGGCTTACTGAAATTAGGAGCTTGCAATACAGGGGAATTAGAAAGAATAGCTTTGACTTGATCAAATGCTAGTTCACATTCCTTACTCCACTCAAAGTTGATACCTTTCTTCAACAAATCAGTAAGGGGAGCTACCACTTCTGTAAAATTTAAAATAAACATACGATAGTAAACTATCATACCTAAGTATCTTTGTAATTCTTTCCTATTCTGAGGTCTGGGACACCGACATATAGATTCAACTTTAGCCAGTGGTGGGGCTACTGATCCCTGTCCAATTACATACCCAAGATACTGTACTTGGGCTTTAACAAATTCACATTTTTCGAGGTTTACAACAAGATTAGCACTGGAGAATCTATTCAAGAGTTCTCCAACTTCAGAGATATGTTCTTCCCAAGAATCACTGTAGACAACCACATCATCTATAAGTTACACAGCCTTTGATTCCTGCAGTAATAGTGTTCATCAATCTCTGAAAAGTGGCAGGAGCATTTTTCATACCATAGGGCATCACTTTACACTTATAAGTTTGACCCAAAGTAACAAAACATGAAATGTCCTGAGCTCGGTCAGTCAAAGGAACTTGCCAATATCCCTTTAGTAGATCAAACTTGCTAATGTAATTAGAACTTCCCACTTTGTCGATGCACTCATCCACCCTTGGTAACGGATATGTGTCTGTCTTAGTCAGAGCATTGACTTTCCTAAAATCAATACAAAATCGATATCCCCCATCAGACTTGGGCACTAGAGTCACAGGTGAACACCACTCACTTTGGCAAGCTTCAATTAGTCCATGTTCTAACATATAATTCAATTCTTGTTGAAGAGGGGCAAGACGATTTGGATTTACACGGTAAGGCGCCTGCTTCACTGGTGCAGCATCCCCCACATTCACATCATGCACTGCTAATGTTGTAAGTCCTGGTGAGTCCCGGAATACATCCTGATACCGAGACAAGAGTGAGACAAATTCTTCTCTCCGCTCTGCTGTTAGATGGGTGAGCTTATCTGATACCTTGGTCCAGGCGTTAGTGTTCTTCTCCCATGTCCCAGTCATCTCCAATGTTGGCGGGCAAGCATTATCTTCATCTTCTGTGGGTGTTAGAGCTACTGCACACACTGGAGCATCTGGTGAATCCCTCTGGTAGTATGGTTTTAACATATTTATGTGACATAGTCGACTGGATTTTCTCCTATCTGGGGTGGAAACAACATAATTAACATCACTCAGCTTCTGCTTTACCAAATATGGACCACTAAATTTTGCCTGTAAGGGTTGACCATGTATGGGAAGCAGAACCAACACCTGATCACCTGGCTGGAACACCCTCATTCTCGCTTTCTTATCGTACCATTTCTTCATTTTCTTTTGGGAAGAAACCAAGTTATCTCTAGCAATTTTCCAACTACGGTTCAGCTTCTCTTTAAAGTCACTAACATAAGATAAAAGTCCTACATTCTCATCCATACCAAGCCACTCTTCTTTTAATAATTTTAATGGTCCTCTCACCTCGTGGGTGAACATTAACTCAAATGGAGAAAACCCCAAGGATTCATTTGGTGTTTCTCTAGTAGCAAAAAGCAAGAAAGCAAGCCTTTATCCCAATCCTTGTGACTTTCTGTACAAAATTTTGTAATCATACTTTTAAGAGTTTGATGATAACGTTCTATGGCACCTTGACTCTGAGGATGGTAAGCAGTGGAAGTGATCTGCTCAATACCTAGTTCCCGGAGGGACTGTCTGAAAACTTTGGACATAAAATTTGATCCCTGGTCAGACTGCACTTCTTTAGGTAAGCCAAACCTTGTGAAGAACTGTAATAACTCTCTTACTACTGTTTTAGCTGAGGTATTTTTGAGAGGAACAGCCTCAGGATATCTAGTAGCCATATCCATGATAGTAAGAATATAAGAATATCCTGTTGCAGTTTTAGGTAAAGGGCCAACAATATCAATAACCACTCTGGAGAATGGAGCATCAAAGGGGGGAATGGGTATTAATGGAGCAATATCAGGAGGTTGATTAGGCTTACCGACCATTTGGCATGTGTGGCATGTCCTGCAATAACGGGAAACATCTTTGCGAATTGTAGGCCAATAAAAGTTACGCCAAATCCGGTCTAAGGTCTTTCTTACCCCCAAATGTCCTGCCAAAGTAGAATCATGAGCAAGTTCATTATATCATACCTATAAACATTTGGAACTACTACCTGGTGTACTGTCACCCACTCACTGTCAGTTGCTGGGGACGAATGGGGTCTCCACTTACGCATTAATACACCCCTTTTCAAATAGTAACAAACTGACAGTTCATCACACTCATTTTCAGCCACAGCAGCTTCAGCTAAGTCTTGCAACTCAGGGTCAGCTTGCTGCAATTCAATTAATCCTTTAGACATATCAGTTTGATTAACTAGTGCTACTCTATCTACAGAGTCAATGGTGGCAAAAAAAGGTATCAGCCAAGTTAACAGCATCAGTATCAGTAGTAGTGACAGGATTGATTACATTCCCAGTCTGAGGTACTTTAATATTGGTTGACATGGACCTTGTTACAGCACAGGCAGGGAACACATGGGGTACTTCCTCAACTAATTGCTTAGTTTCTTCCACAGCTACAGGTTTCTCAGATAATAACGGGACAGGGTTCACCTTCTTGCCCGCTATATCATTTCCCAACAGGAAATGAACACCATGCATAGGCAATTGATCCACCAGGCCTACACACACAAAACCCTCAAAGAATTCACACTCAAGGTACACTCTCACAGGGGTAACAGAGATGGATCCTCCAACTCCATGAACAACTATTTTCTCTGGGCTTTCAAAATCAACCAAACCTTTTAACATGAGAGATTTTAAAGCGCCAGTATCCCGTAAAATCTGAACAGATTTCTTTTCCCCACCCTCAAGTGAGACAGTACCTTCATGCATAAAACTATCATACGATCCAGTGAAAGCCCCATCACCACTGTTTACATCCAACTTTCTAAAGAAGCTTTATTTTCATTTCTGGGGAAAACAGTTACAGGTGAAAACTTTTTGGATAAACTTACTTTAGTGGAAACCAAGGCTACTGATTTAGCCTTAATTTCTCGTGACTTCTTCCAACACTCTCTCTCCCAATGGCCAGTCTTCCCACAGTAATTACAAATCTTACATTTCTTCCCTTGTACAAAATCATGTGGCTTGGACATCTTTCCATGGTCCACTACATCATCTGGAAGAGCAAACTTACAGTGAAAGCTGCTACAACATCTCTCTTATCTGAAAACCCGGAAATTTATTAGTATAGGTCTTATGTGTCAATACATACTCATCAGCCATAATGGCAGCAACAGCTATATTATCTACACCTCGTTCAGATAAGTATAGAGAAACTTTTTAGGAACACATCTGGCAAATTCCTCTAATAACATTAGTTCCTTTAATTTAACAAAGTCTGACTTTACCTCTTTTGAACGAAGCCACTGATTAAACAAATCTTCTTTAACTCTGGCAAATTCTACATAAGTCTGGTCAGCTAGTTTGAAAGTGTTTCTATTTGAGCCTATATGCCTCTGGCACAAGTTCATACGACTTCAGAATAGTATTTTTCACAATATCATAATCTACACATTGAATGTTTGATAAAGATGCATACACACTTTGAGCCTTACCCTTCAAAACACTTTGCAACAATATTGGCCAATACTCTTTGGGCCAACATAAACTCTGTGCAACCTTTTCAAACATCACAAAGTACTTGGTGACATCCCGCTCACAAAAAGGTGGAACAAGTCTTACCTGTCTTGCCACATCAAAGGAATGAATAGAGACAGGATTGCTCTCCAGCTGTTTTATTCTAAACTCATGATTTAGCTTCATCTCTTCCCGGCGCAAATCAAGTTTGGCCTGCTCCAGACGGATCTTTTCTAATTCTAAGAGCACACAAGGGTCTTTAAGATTGCTTGAGCCTTCACTTGTAACTTCATGTGAAGCTGAAAAGTCATGAACACGGTCAATTTCTTCAGGGAAATTCCCTGAAAAAGGATCCTCTATACCAAACAATTTCCTGTTAATCATGTTAACTAATGGGAATCTATTTACATCTGAAGGAAACTCCAGTTCAAGAAATTTAGCAACTAATTTTAGTTCATGGTTCCCTAATGATTCAACTTTCTCAACAGATGGTTCTGATGAAAGAAAATTCTTGACATCCTCTTCACTAATGATAGATGCCATGTTTACAAAGACGGGTAGAGATAACTGGCATAAATGATGCAGTTTCCTAATACATTACACGGCACCTGGATCCTGGCAAGGTCGCCAATTTTGTTACGCAACGGTTAAAATAAACAATGCTGTTGATTCCTATTTTACTGAAGATCTAAGATAACAAGGTTTTTAACTCCATGAATGACATCAAAGTAATAGAACAGAATCCAGGGCCTTGTAGTAAGAAACTAACGAACAGATAAATGCATAACCTAGGAAAGAAATATTTTACACACATGCAATAGGATATTTCGTAAAAAATACACCACTAAACAGATTCAAACACTTATCCTAACCAGACCTATATATATCTGAGAACACATAAAACTTATACTTAAGTACTGGGATTCCTTGAATCTAGAAAAAGGTGATGATAAACACAAAAAGGGGGAAAGAACAAAGAGACGCTGTCGCCTGAGAGAGAGCGCGGAAGAGTGAAAGTGTCAACTCCTCTCATTGGCTGAGAGCCTACAGACATCCAGGTGGCCTCTCCCTATTGGCTGTAAGGAAAAATGCGCGCGAACTGTCAGAATCCCTAACATGGCACTGGCTTTAACAATATATATATATATATATATATATATATATATATATGTTGTGTGTGTGTGTGTGTGTGTGTGTGTGTGTGTGTGTGTGTGTGTGTGTGTGTGTGTGTAAACAAAACTACATTTCGAAATAATCTGTTTCATATCTATTTAATTCATATCTGTGCCATTCCATTGAAGGAGATCTCCCAATTCACTGTGAGAGGTTTTGTGTGTATGTGAGGTACTGCATGAAATAGAGCAGAGACGCATAGTATCGTCCAGCCTTTTTTTCTTTCTTTTCCCCTCAATTTCTATTTCATCCTATGAATCCCATCGATCCGAGGGCCAAGGGGTCCTGCTCATACTCTCTCTCGCTCTCTCTTGTCGTCTTTTTTCACTCTTTATTGTTACTCTCACTCTCTTTCGTCATATGAATGCTTACTTACACACACGCTCAAAAACACACACACGCACACACACATTTGGAGACAGGTATACGTGTCCATCTCTCTCATCAGTTACACTTTGACCGTCACTTTCTCAGTTCTACGTACCCATTTGTAATATATTCTCTCTCCCTCCTCTTTCGCTCGCTTTCGCCGTTTCCTGCAGGGTACAAAAATATGGAACAGCAACATATAGACCAACATAGATCACCTCGAGTCCCGCAGTCAATCACCAGGACCGGAATTTCGTCCTCGCTTCCCCGCGCCTCGTCCCTCCCGCCCTCCACGCCACGACGCAACCCGGATGTAACACACGAAAAAGGTTAGACTCGAGTCGCGTATTGGAGAATCTTTCTTTATTGGAAGAACCATTTTCGGAGATTGGTCTTCTAATAGGATTTCTTGAGCGATGGTCGATGATTATGATATGCGGAAGGAAATCGATTCATCCGTTTGCATATTGGCCGCGTCGTTCGGTGTATGGGATGGAATTTCTACGAAATACGTCGACCTGCTTTGTTCTGGATAAAGTATCAATAGATTTTGGTCGGTTGGTATGGCATCATCTAACAACAATGCTGAAATGAGCCAAACACACACACAGGCTCTTATCATGCTTATTTGTAGTATGTGTCACACACAAACACACACACGACGCACGCACAAACACACACACGCAAGCACAAACACACACACGCACAAACAAACAAAAACACATATATAATCGCAATCTGTATTTACGGAGCCTCCTGCTTCCTTCTTTTCCACCCATCATCTCCCAGGCGATGCATTTCAGCCACAGCCTCGAATTAAGCCTTCACGGAATTCATCTCAGAAGGCGGAAGCGAAACAGCTTCGGGTTCTGCGTGAGATAATACGCTGCATGTCACCATCAAAGTGGCATACAATCCTCTTAAAGCAGACTGAGAGGAAACGCGTGAGTCATTCAGTTAATTTACATGCACAAGAATTCCCAGGACACGAGTGTTCCTTTGGTGGGTTTCACATGAAGAAGCACTCGTCTTCTAAAAGCCGTTATTAAATTCGAAAATTTAAAAGTGCGTTCACTCCCAAATGTTCAAACACTAAATGTTCGTTACCGGTTGTTTGGACATACGAACTCGTAACATGCCAATAAGGCGAAGATAGACTAACACTACATCAGTTATGACCATTACGGCAAAAGATGTGAATGCGGTGACAGAGCCCAGACTTCGACTTAAGATATCTGCAGCTTCTTCAATAACCACGATAATATTTGCAATTTTCTTCAGTTTTGCAAAAATATTACTTCTATTACGATATCACATACAGTCTTACACCACGGTAAAGATCTAAACAATAATTACTAACCTCAACTAATGCCGAAGACTGTGCCCTAGCATCGCATTCGCACCATCTGCCGTAATAGTAGTAACATTGCACTGAATCGTCACCGCAACGGGGTCCCTGTGATGCCAATGCTCACACTAATCCAAGAACGATTCATCTGCGCCAGTATACACTTCCCACGAACGGTCCTTGCATTTGATATTTGATTAACATTGCATTTAGACAGGCAGTGTGTCTCAAACAGCTGATTCATGGCAGAAGGGAAGGCGGGGTCTTGTAAGCTACCGATAATAGATTTCTGCTTAATTGGGTCCTTTGTTGCCGCAGACTGTTGAGATTGCTTTTCGGGAA